TGCCGGCTGGCGACCTCCAGGGGGAGGGCCTTCTCGGTGGGAGCCCCCACCCTCTGGAACGAACTACCCCCAGAGATCCGGGTGATCCCGGATCTCCCCTCCTTCCGCCGCGCCCTAAAGACATGGCTCTTCCAACAAGCGGGATTGGCCTAGGGAATTTTTAGTGGGGTTTTAAGTGAAATTTTAATTACATAGGCCATAGTGAATATTTCTTTTTAATTTGGTTTTAAATTAGTATTTATTGTAGTATCTGTTTTATAAGGCTGTCAGCCGCCCTGAGTCCGGTAAGGAGAAGGGCGGGATAAAAATTGAATAAAATAAATAAATAAAATAAATAAATGTCTATGGAGTTTCTCAACCATCCAAGTTGTCCCAAAGATGCTTAAAGACAATGGGACTTTCTTGGTTTTTTTCCTTGAGAACGTTTTCACCCATGAAGTTTCTTCAAATCTCTTCTCTTGGTAACATGTCACCCTCCCAAACTTCCAGTTCTAGTGGCAGATAATCACACCAACTGGATCAGGAACCAGTTTTTGGAGAACACATGGTCTTCACCCACCTTCTCCCACCAAAAGTCCATTAATAGTTGGCTCCCTCGGTGTCTAGAAGAACTTCAGTTGTTCAGAAGCTTCTTGGATGAGACGGGAAACGTTTAGAAAGAAAAAAAAAATAACTCCCAGGAAGTCCAGTTGCCTTTTGGAAAAGCACCTTTGGGGTATCTGAAGGCCAAGATCTCAGATCTTAGAGCAAGAGCAGACAGGAATTCCACCGTCTTCAAAGGGGGGAGTGTCGTAAAATGCCACAAATATCCAAGATGGGACTTGAGGTCCCTGCTTTGAGGAGTCCAACTAAACCAGGGGTAGGCAACCTTGGCTCTTTTATGACTGGCTCAGGAATTCTGGGAGTTGAAGTCCACGAGTCATAAAAGAGCCAAGGTTGCCTACCCCTGAACTAAACTATCCCCCATGAAGATCAAAATCCAGGACTCTGGAAGTCAGGAGACGAGGAGTTGCCAAGGTGAGGGACAGGTCCAGCACCAAGGGACAGCAAGACGTGGCCCAGCCACCAATTCTTGGTTCAGCTGTTGAGGTGGCACCCATAATGCCAAAGGAAGCTCCAGACATGTCCTCTTCTCCAAAGAGAAGCTGGTTTTCTGTGGTTCAGTGGCTTCCAGCTCTTCCAATCCAGCAGGAATGGGCTCCTTTTCAACCTACCTTCTAGCCAAGGGTGCTAGTCCTCAATTTACAACAGTTGCTTAGTGAGTAGTTATGACAGAGCAGTTACTGTATGACCCAGATTCAAAGTTCTGATAAATGCCTGCCCCCTGACACACACACACACACACACACGGGCATACGATTGCCCTTGAATTGCAAGTAGTCCTCTACTTATAACCATTCTCTTAGAGGCCATTCAAAGTTACGACAGACCACTCAAAAGGTACATATGACCCAGATTCAAAGTTCTGACAAATGCCTCCCCCCCACACACACACACCTAGGGGCACACAATCGCTCGTGAATTACAGGTAGCCCTCTAGTTAAGACCATTCAAAGTTACGACAGGCCACCCAAAAAGTACATACGTCCCAGATTCAAAGTTCTGACTGATGCCTACCCCCACTCCACACACACCCGGGGCACACGATCGCCCTTGAGTTACAGGGAGTCCTCAACTTATGACCAATTGCTCAGTGACGATTCAAAGTCATGACAGACGCCCCAAAAGGTATTCACTGCCCAGATTCAACGTTCTGATGGGCGCCTGTCCGCCCATCGTGGCACACAACCGCATTGCAGGTGCTCGGAACCCATCCTTGGCGATGGGTCCAGGTGGGGGCAGCTGCTGCAGCGGTCCTAGCAAATGTCCCTCCCCTCCCATCTCTTTGTGCCTGCAGGCCTTCTACATGGTGCGCTTCCACTCCTTCTACCCCTGGCACACCGGAGGGGATTACATGCACCTCTGCAGCACCAAGGACCTCCAGATGCTTCCCTGGGTACAAGAGTTCAAGTAAGGAGCTCCAAGCCATGGCGGAGGGGAAGGGAAGACCAGAGCTGGGGTGGGGAGGAGGATACCTAGACACAAGGCTAGACGTGTTAGTACTGCTTTACAAGGCCTTGGTAAGGCCACACTTGGAATGCTGCATCCAGTTTTGGTCACCACGAAGTAAAAAAGATGGTGAGACTCTAGAAAGAGTGCAGAGAAGAGCAACAAAGATGATCAGGGGACTGGAGGCAAAAACATATAAAGAACGGTTGCTGGAATTGGGTATGTCTAGTTTAATGAAGAGAAGGATGAGGGGGGATGTGATAGCAGTGTTCCAGTATCTCAGGGGCTGCCCCAAAGAAGAGGGAGTCAAGCTATTCTCCAAAGCGCCAGAAGGCAGGACAAGAAGCAACGGGTGGAAACTCACCATGGAGGGAACCATAGAACATGGAAGAACAGAGTTGGAAGGGATCTTGAAGGTCTTCTAGCCCAACCCTCTCCTTGAGCAGGAGACCCTCTATCATTTCAGACAAATGGTTGTTCAGTCTCTTCTTAAAAGCCTCCAGTGATAAAGCACCAACTTCTGGTGGCAAGCTGTTTCACTGGTTGGTTGTCCTCACTGTCAGGAACTTTCTCCTTAGTTCTAGGTTGCTTCTCTCCTTGATGTGTTTCCATCCGTTGCTTCTCCAACCTAGAACTAAGCAGAAATTCCCTGACGGTGAGAACAATTAATCAATGGGACAGAAGTTGTGGCTGCTCCATCACTGGAGGTTCTTAAGAAGAGATTGGATAGCCATTTGTCTGGAATGGCATAGGATCTCCCGCTTCAGCTTGGGGTGGACTAGAAGACCTCCAAGGCCCCTTCCCACTCTGTTATTCGGTTAAACCAGAGTGGAGGAGGCATTGCAATTCCCAACCTCTGTCTTGCATCTTCAAGAAGGTATCTCCACAGCAAGATTGCAGACGCACAGAAGCTTGTTTGCTCACGGGATGACTTTTAACATTCGTTTGCAATAATGGTCTCTCTCTGGTTTAATGTTTGTTAATTTGTTTGCCTGCTGCAGCCTCCTTGCCTCCCACCTGGCCTGTGGCAGGGGACCAAACCTGCCCTTTTCCTAGCAAAGGCTTCGCCCTCTGTCCTAGTCTTCTCCACCCTGGTGGCCTCAGAAGTATCCGAGATCCCTGGAGCAAGATGTCGGCTTCTTTCTGGCTTATCAAAGAGAGCCAACATCAGCACGGTTCAGGACAACAGGGAACCCCAGAGGGCCGGAAAATAATCCCCCACTTCTCTGTCCCTCTCTTGCAGCAAGTTTGACCTCTACACCAAGTGTGAACAGCTGCCTGATCCACAGCAGCTGAAGCCCTACTACGAAGGCTTGATAGCCAAGTACTGTCCAGGCCAGCTGTCCTGGTGATGCCCTGGACCTCAGCGCCTTTGGACCCTCTGCTCCAGCTTCTTCCTTGGCAATCCCAAAGGTGCTTTTCCAGGAGGCAACTGGACTTTGCTTTTCTTTGAAGACGTTTCGCTTCTCACCCAAAAAGCTTCTTCGACTCTGACTGGATGGTGGGGAACGGAAGCTCTGGAGGATCTTCAGCCAACACAACGTACACGCACACTTCAAACCCAAGGATACACTAAGGCAGGGCTTTTCAACCAGTGGCAAGGGTACCACCTGGCAGGTGGTACGTGACCATCCTAGAAAAGTGGTAGCGGGGAATGAGCTGAACCAGTGGCAGCACCGCACAAGCCTGAGCGAGAGATGGCTGGAGCTGCAGGGCTCAGTGGAAGCGCCAGGATCAGCGCCAGGCTCCAGCTGGAATTCGGCGCTGATCCTGGCACTTCTGCTGAGCCCAGAAGAAGCGCCGATCAACTAGAGCTCAGTGCTGATCCTGGCCCTTCTGCTGAGCCCAGAAGAAGAGCCGATCAGCTGGAATGTTGCAGCCTCTCCAGGGTCTCGTGATTTACATTCAGATGCTTGGCAACTGATTCATATTTATGACGGTCACACTGTCCCAGGGTCATGTGAAGGGACCAAAACCTGCTGCAACCACCCAGGAGACGGGGGGGGGGGGAATAAAAACCAAACACCCCCCCACCCCACTCCTGCTGCCAATCCTCAACAGAAATGCTCACAATAATGAAAACCTTCAGAATTAGATAAAATCTTATTTAGCAGGGAAGGCAAGACTATAAGTAAATTATATCGATAGTTATTAGAGCAAGATATGATTGAGGAACAGGTGAAAGAAACGATGATAATTTGGTGTAAATATTTTGGGCACAATATTGATTTGGATATTTGGCAGTTTATGGGGAAAAAACCTAAAAATTACACTAGCAACCTCCTATAAGGAAAACCTCTATAAGATGTTTTATAGGTGGCACCTCCCTCCCACAAGATTAGCACGAATGAACAAGGGGAAAAACTAGTTATGTTGGAAGTGTGAAGAGACAGACCATTGGGAATTACTACATGTGGTGGCAATGCCCAAAAGCACAAAAATTTTGGAACTTATTAAAGAAGTGGTTGGAAGAAATTTTGCAAATAGATATAGAAGCCAAACTGGATTTTTTCTTATTGGGAATTATAGAAAGAAAATATTAGACACAAATTATTTACTACTGCATATAGTAACAGCGGCACGAATAGCCTTCACTCAAAAATGGAAAGAGAAAGATACTCCAACCGAAGAGGAAATATTATTGAAAATTTTCAATTGTGCTGAAATGGATAGACTTACATGGGAACTCAAGGACAAAAGTGAAACCAAGTACTACAAAATCTGGGAACAATTTTATGATTGGATAGACAATAAGAGGGTAGCCAAGATAAATGTATAGTGCTAGAATAAAATATAGATTATCGACAAATGTATATTTAAAAGATAAATATATAGAAATAAGGGAAAAGTGTTAATAGTATATTATAAATAGTGAGCAAAGTTCAAGAACTATATGTCTATATGAGTACTAATACTATTGTAAAATGTTGGAAGATGTATGGAACCAGTGACGTCATATCTATGTCCAATGTGTTTTTAATTTTGTTTTATTAATAAAAATTTATAAAACAAAACAAAACAAAAACCTCAGACAGGAGGAAGAGCGCCGCCAGGTGGGCAGGTAGGTGTCTTGCTCGGCTGTGGCTTGGAGGGCACTTTTTTCGGTGCCATTGTAACTTCAAACAGTCACTAAGTGAACTGTTGTAAGTCAAGGACTACCTGAACTTCATCAGTTTTTTCCTTTTTTGGGGGGGTCATCAAGTTTTTGACACCTTGCTAGGCGACTGGTGGTACTCAGATGTTGCCATATCCTAAAAATGGTACAATGGGTGAAAAGGTTGAAAAGCCCTGCACTAAGGCAGAAGCTTGTCCATCCCAAGGACAAAACACCCAAACTGAGCCAACGTGATCTATGCAGTACAATGCAGTGAGCCCTGTGCAGATCTGCACATTGGGGAAACAAAACCACCACTTCACAAACCCATTGACACAACATAGGAGAACAAACCCATCAGGACGAGATTCAGCCGTCCATCTGCATTTTTATTTATTTATTTATTTATTTATTTTTTGGATTTATATCCCGCCCTTCTCCTGTAGGACTCAGGGCGGCTGACAATCTATTTAAAATACATACAAAACAATACAAATTTAAAATTAATTAAAAGGAATATTTAAATATTTGTCGAATTTTAAAATATAATTAAAACCCCCCTAAAAATTACCCTAGGCCAGTCCTGCA